TTCTTGTTCTTGATCTTCATCCTTCAGACTTGTATCAAACTCGCATTCTTCATCTTCATGACCTAGATCAGTCTTTTCAGATATTATTGGCACACTTCCTATGTCTCGGTATCTCGTTTTCTCTTCATCAAAAATCACATTGTCAGAGCAAATGACTTCTCTTTCTCCAGGTATATATGTATGATTCGATAGCTTGATGACTCGGTGTCATATCCAACAAAGATTCCCTTCCTAGACTTCTTGTAGAGTTTCTTCCTTCTATGATCAGTTTTCAGAACGTAGCAGTCACATCCGAAACTCCTCAGTTATAGATATCAATACGACGACCGAACCATAAGTCTGCTGTACTCTTGGCGTTGACTGAGGTGGTGCCAGTCTGATTCAAGGTGAACACGACGTAGTTGACAGCTTCTGCCCATATAGTCCAGTCATTTTAGGATAAAAAAGGGATCAATCTCGGAATGAGAGATAATAAGCTGAATTTTTGTATATACCTTAATTTTAGCGTTTTAAAAGTTGTGTCAAAAGTCTCATAAAATCTCGTGTCTGCGTCGTAAGTTATTCAAGGTCAAAGATGAAGAAAAACAGTTTTTTGCGATTATCTCGGTTTCTATTCCTCCAGTGATGTTAACATCTATTATCATAATTGTAGAGCACAAAATTTGGGACAAATTTTATTTGAAACATTTTTTCATGCGCTCAATCGTTTTTGAGATAGAGGGCAGTGAGCGCGCAGCGCTCATCCATACGTACTGTAATGCAATCAACCGTGAATATCTATGAATACTACCTTGAATTTTGAAAAATTTGTATTATTTATCAATTAATACATTGTATTTAAACATTTTACATATTTTCAACATATTCATTGAATAATACTTACCTACTTTGTGTAATTAAAAACGCATTTAATGAAATATTTATTGTATATCTCAATTTATTTATATCTTTAAAATGTGTAAGGTTTTAAATACTTATTTTTCTATCATGATTATAACTGGAAGGTTAGGAAACAACGATTCAGGGCACCGAAGATGATGACGATGAAACAGAAATTCCCGAACGTCCAGAAGATGACGGTAAAGAAGAAAAAATTAATACTTTTGTTCTTTAAATTATTAAAGATTTCTAGATTTTCACTGCAATTCAATTTCAATCGTAAGAAATGTACAGGTACTGAACAAAGATAAAATTAAAATACATTAACTCGTTTTACTTCCTTAAATTTTTATTTTGAAAAAATTAATATAACTTTTAGATATATAATTATATAACAAGTATAATATATTATCTAATATATAAAAACTTACACATTTGAAAGATAATGTACTTAATTATTTTTCTACTTAAAATCTACTTTTAATAAATTAAGATATACATACAATAAGTATTTCATTTAAAGAGTTTTTAATTCCACAAAGTAGGTAAGTATCATTATCATTAAATGAATGTATTGAAAATATGTAAAATGTTATTAAATGCAATGTATTAACTGATAAATAATACAAATTATTCAAAATTAAAGGTTGTATTCACAGATATTCACGGTTGATTGCATTACAGTACGTATGGATGAGCGCTGCGCGCTCACTGCCCTCTATCTCAAAAACGATTGAGCGCATGAAAAAATGTTTCAAATAAAATTTGTCCCAAATTTTATGCTCTACAATTACGATAATAGACGTTAACATCATTGGAGCAATAGAAACCGAGATAATCGCAAAAAACTGTTTTTCTTCACCTTTGACCTTGAATAACTTACGACGCAGACACGAGATTTTATGAGACTTTTGAGCCAACTTTTAGAACGCTAAAATGAAAGTATATACGAAAATTCAGCTTATTATCTCTCATTCCGAGGTTGATCGCTAATTTGACTGGACTAATATATTTTCTTTCAAATTTCGCGCATGTATGACCGACCTCGCAAATTCCACCACGGTTTGCATTTCCCTTTCAACTCTGCCATTCTGTTGTGGTGTGTGAACGTTTGATAACATATGCCTGATTCCTCGTTCCTCCAAAAGTTGATATGTGGTTTTGTTCTTTATTTCAGTTCCATGATCCGACCTCAGTTCTTTCACGTTCCTTCCAAATTGATTTTCAACTTCATTCATTTCCCCAAGATCTACATGAACTAGATCCAATGATTGAGCTGCTACCTTCTCATTTTTGTTTCCCATAAATGCATCCTTCACAGACTCGATTGTTTCAGTCATCTATGTACTTGATGTTATTCCTGTATAGGATGTCCTTGACGTATTTCAGGTTCTGATGTGCAAGTCTCTCATGCCAGGTGACAATTGAAGTTGCAATTAGGCTGGTGTTCATACAGGGTAGTCGGAGCATCACTCTATACAAATTTCCTTCTCGTTGAGCCATGGTAAGAACAGTTTGGTTGTCACTTGACTTGATAATTGATACATCTTTATTGCACGTCTCAATGTCTCCTCTGTCGATCACTTGACTGAGTGAAATCAAGTTAAAGTTCAAACCTGGTACCTAGAGTACGTCTTCCAGAATGACTAGTCTCCAGTTGTTACCATTGTAGGCTTCAAGTTCTATGTCTCCAACCGCTGAGGCCTTGAGTTGATTTGAGTCTCCCATAATGACTGTTACAGGTTGCTTCAGTTGTCTCAAATTCACAAACCAGCTTTTGTTGGAAGTCATATGTTGTGTGGCTCCACTGTCTTGGTACCAGTTAGCATAGACATCTTCTACTCGTTGTTGTTTTGGGAGCTCAGTACGTGACAAACCGACGGCTACATAAAGTTTGTTCGAACGACCTCCGAATCTTCTCTCATTCCTTTCCGACCTCTCATTATCCAATTTGTCATCATTCTTCTTTGGGGACTCCTTAGCAAAATGACCTATTTGACCACAGAGATGACAGGGGTAATTTTCTTTACAGTAGACTTTCCACAAGGTTTGTTTCTGCAGTACTTCTTTATATGTCCCTTCTATCCACATTTGAAACAAATGCTGGCAGCACTTTCACCTTGCTTGTTTTGTTTTTGATTGTCTTGTTGGCTTCTCTTCTCGTGCTGCATCACGAGTGCGTTGTTGCTTGTAGGTTCACTTGATCCTTCAGCTGCTTTAATTCTGTCCTCTTCTAATCTCAACTTCTCAATTAGGTTTGAGATGGTTCTCTGATTTCCAGTAACATTGTCCCATGATGTGCGAAAATGGTAGAGACGTTGTGGCAATATGGTGAGCATTCAAGTCATTGCCCACTTTTCATAGTCGTTTCCATCCTGTGCACTGAGATCTTGAGCTAGTTGTTGTATCTCATTGCAGTTTTCAACAGCTGATTTTGTGCTGTCAAACAGAAATCCGAAAAATTTTCGCTGCAGACCTTCAATTTCATAATCTGACTTTTTGCCATACAAATTCTCTAACTTTTCGAACATTTGTTGCGACGTTTTACAACACATGATGTGTTTCGCAATTTTCTTACTAACATTTAAGCCAATAATTGTTTTTACTTTTTTTTTGGTTTGGATCACCAGATGGTTTTGGCTCTGCACCAATCACACAATCAAAACATTTCTTCGACTTTAAAATTAAAATAATTTTAAAACGCCAGGCTTTATAATCTACTTCATCATTTTGATCTTCCGACAACATTTCAATATTCGACTTTGTTGTGTCCATTTTGCAATGACGTTTTTACGTTATGCTGCTGACAAATGATGGTTTCGCTGGGCAGGTCTCAACTGAAGGAGACTTGGTTGTTTCCTACTGGTCTACACTCTGCTGAGTTCGACAACGTTTCTGACACTCAAGACTTAACAACAATAACAGAGGCTGAACTGATTTAACTGACTTTTATTGCTTGTCTTACTTGTCCAGCGTCTCTGGGCCCATAACCTGTTAATCTTTCTTTGTATTTCAAGTCAGACAATGTTTTCTTTGGGTTTCTTTATTGAACAAAAAGGCGCCTCGTAACTAAAGAAATACCCCTGACAATTCACATACTAATATTAAAATGACGGACCCTCACAGACTTTGCTTTCAATACCTTCAGTAAATATCAAGACTACACCGCCATTTTATTACTCATTTCTATCTGGTCCTCTCACTCACCCACAAACATACTAACCACTAGATGTATAAAACAATTAATTTCAACACATTTGCTTTGAGCTGGATTGCCACTTTTCTACCTCATTTATTAGATCAGAATTAGTAGACGCAAATTTTTAATCAAGCAAACAAATGTTTTAATTTTGTCAGCATAGATAATTTGTCATTGTGACAGATTCACAGATCATTGCGACATTATTTAAAAAGAAAATGCCTAAAATAGTTTTACTGCAACAAAAAATTGCAATAAAAAGATGTTTTTTGCAGTTTCGAAAAGACAGATATGGAAATACTTAGGCTGTTCTCAAAGGTCGAAATTTCCATTTATAAGAAGAGTGGGCCAGCAGAACGAACTGATTATTGAGAGTTAAAGATCAGATGCTAAATGTGGCATGCAACAATAGTCGTATGTAGAACCCCCTTTCATATAAAAACAATGTTTAAGTGAAATTTTCGTGTTTGTTCCTTACATATGAAATAAACACTTACAAAAAGCCGAATAACTGTTTTAAATAGCGTAAAGTTGTATGCTTTCTAAGAAATGGATACCGTTAACTTGGTCATTGCTACTAAAACTGAATGTATCGACAACAATGTTTATATTTCTAGCATATTTTTTAACCTTTATTTAATGAAACATAACCTAAGGAAAAAAGTTCAGGGAATTTTTATTCTTCTGCCTCGAATATCAATAAACTCACTAGATTTTCATGGCCAACCCTACTATATAAAGATCGTGAACGGATAATAAATTGTTGAGTTTAAACCAGCCGAATTTAAATACCCAATCATCGTAACAATGCTATACGACTAGCATCATAAAAACAATAAAAATAAAGGGGTCCTTATTACCTGTTTTTTTAAATATATACATATAAATGGAGAAGGTGATAGGGAAAATTATCTTACGACGACTTTGTTTTCTTCAGAATCCCTCTTAACATTTAAAACCTTTAGTCTACATTTTAAAAAAACACTTCGAATCTTCGTTTCTTCCCTTTGGGTGTTTCTTCATTCAAAATTTCATCGAGGAACGTTTTCGCAGAGTTTTTTTTATCGTAGTCACAGTAATGATTCACGTGTTGTAAATCAACAGCAAGGCCGATTTTCTTCAGATTGCTTACTTGCCCCTCAACCTCCTTTATCTTTGAAAAGAAAAAAAATTTCGGAATGTCTTCTTCGCTTTGCGAGCTAAATCTCTTTTTCATTTGTTTCTTAAAAAAGCAAATTGACCGAAAAGTGCAAATACTCATACATCATCTATACTCACTTTGAAGTTTTCCCACTGTTCCTCAGGGCTTTTTCCCGCTATGAAGTTGTTAGCTTTTTCGGTAGGGTTCTTCAAATAATAAGCTTGGATTTCTTCTTCAGTTAGATCGCTGAACTCGGTATGATTTATTTTAAAATATACTAAATTTTCTTTGACTTTTTTATTGTTTTCTTCCATTTGTGCGTACCGGGAAAAATAAATTTGTTTGTGTATCGTGTCCTCATCCTTATCTTTGTATTCTTTACTAAATTGTTTCTATAAATGTAAAATTATTTAAATAATACGTTTAAGCCACACGTACTTTATAAAGGTCCCATTTTTTTGGAAATGCGAGCATGTCTGTGAGAGATAACTGTTGATTTTGGATTCTGTTGTTGCGAAACATCATGTAAGTGTAGTAGATTCAACGAGCACAATGATTTTTATTTAATTTATCTGACAACTCACTGACATTTTGACATAATGTGAAAGTATTTTGTTTGGTTCATTGATTATTACAACATAATCTAAATTTAACTAAAAAAATCTACAGACGACAGACAGTCGGGAATGCGAGGCCTTTATTTAAATTACTGATTTTAAATAATAGGTTGCTGACTGTATAATGTCTTACAATTTGGTGGATGCGCCGGTTCCAGTATTATTTACTTTACATAATTTATTTCAAGAACTTCTCGTAACTGCGACATACAAAGTATTATTTTCATAATAAGCTACTGTAGAATAAAATTGTATGTTATTTAGTTGGTAACATATACTCCTTCAATGCTCATCTTGTCCAGCAAAAATTAATATCAGTCTGTACTAAACCGTTGAACAATGTGAACAATGAGCAACAACAAATAAAAAGTCCATTCCCTGTTCTTGGAGGAGGAAGAATTATAAAAACATATAGTGTTGTAGTGGGTTTCATTAGAAACTTGCAACTAAATGCAGCTGCGACACACTCAGATAAAAATATGCAGCGTCACTCGAAAAATTCTCCATTACAGTTTCATTTGGCCAAGTGAAGAAAATGAAAGCAATCCCGGACGTAGTCAAAAATTCAACATTTTCATCTTTCTTTTGATAACGACTCCGTGGTGTTTTTCAATATCGATGCATCTTCTTGTAACATTAAAAGGTATTATTACGTATACTCCAACAAATACTACTAATACTCAACGTTCCAGATAAGCTCGACGTTAACGTTAGCGAAGACGTTGCTTTAATTGTTTGTTTTCTTGGCACATACTACAGCGTCTTTGCTTTTACGAAAAATCAGTCAAAAATAGCATTACTTCTCCAGGATCTATCCAACTTTGAAAGATATGGAATGCCTCCAGGTTTTAAGAATCTTGAAAAAAAATTAAATCTGTGGTCCAAATGTGCTTTTATATACGCTTTTTTTGCCGTGGTTGTGTACAGTTCAATAAAGTTTGTTCAAAGGTCCAAATGTCAAAAAAACAATGCGCAGAAAAATCTGGACGAAAATTGTGGATTTCCAACTGCCATTTGGAGTCCAGTTGACATTAACTATTTTCCGGTTTATCAAATGGTTTATTTTTATGTGGTGGTATCAATACAGACGTTGATGAAACTCGTACTCATGATTTCTGTTCTAATGCTGGAAATGGCTCATTATATTGTGCTGAGAATAGAGCATTTAGAAAAAATGATTGTGGAGTGTTTTGAAAGCAGGAACACGACAATACGGAAAAGGAAAATGATTGAATGTATTTTATATCACACTGAAATACTAGAGTAAGTAAAGACTGGTTTTGTGTCAAATATATAATTTTCTAACAAAATTTTATTTTTTCAGATATTCTGCTAGACTAAGCAACTGCTTCTTTAATGATATGTTCGCTCATTTAACTATGACAGCCGCAATTTGTGGCTGCTTGGAGAAATCATTTATCGATGTAAGTCACTGTAAATAAAATCAAAATATAAAAAATACAACATCAATATTCAGGGGGAATCTCAAGTGTGCACCCTAGTTCACATATTTGGATGGATTTTATCGTTATTTTTTGCCTGTTATGGTGGATAGCACCTCATGAGTGCGGTATATATTTTCTTTTTGCAATACTCGACAATATAGAGTATGGAACTATTGTAGAGTGACTTGTTTCCCACCAAAATTTGGAATTCCCTGTGGTATCAAGCAGAACCGAGCTTACAGAAAGATGTTATCTTCATGCTGTTTAGGTCACAAAAGACTCTTTCAGTTGCCGCAGGTCCTTTTGATGTTGTATCCTTCTCACTTTTTGTTTCTGTATTATAAGGAAGAAGTGTTTGGACTCTGACTTATTTTGATTTTTTAGGTGATGAAAATGTCGTACACCATAATGTGCTACTTAACAAAAGGGAAATAGTAGGTATAAGACTTATTGAAATTTTTGTTTAGCTAATTTGTCGTGACAAGTATGGCACTAACACCATAGGAATTTTATTTTTTAAATCTAAAAAAAAAGGAAATAAATAAATCACAATTTAATGAAAACATTTTCATCTCATTGTTGTGTACTTTCCACTTCTGATTTAATTTCTGGTTATACACTAGGTGTCGCTCCAACACTAATCTATATTTGAAATCTCTGTTTTACAGTTTGAAGTAAATAAATATTAGAAGGACAGACTTTTTTTATATAAATCTTTTATCAATTATATTGAATTAATATAGACAGATAATAACAGACAGACAGACAGAAACGGGATTTTCATACTCTAGGGGACAAGAAACGTCGAGAAAACTTGAAAGTAGTCATTCGCCGCCGATCTTATTACACTAACTAGTCTTTAGCATACACTGTAGAAGCAAAACAGGAATTAGAGATGTTCTTTGAAAAATATTTTGTAGCAGTTTGCTGATGAGCCCCAGTTAAGCTAAGTTTTTAGGGAATATTTACTATAAGGGTTTCGGTTGATAATTCAGTCTAAAAAAGAATGCGAATCGGTTAACAACGGAAATATTATTCCACAAACAAATGATAAAACGGTGATAAGATATTAAAGCGATTGTATGCTGAGTTATCGGCTCCTAAGGGTGACGTGAGATTCCAGATGATTTGAGAATTTACACGATGGCTTTTTTGAAATTGTTTTAAGTTTCAATGAGCGAAATTTTTTGAACAAGGTTTCATTTCCAGTATTCATTTTTTTAAATGACCTTTTTCTTGCAGTTATTACAAAATTTTGACTGTATTCTTTGATTAGATGTACTAAGTTTACTGGAACCATTTTTTATATCATGACCTGGTTTTTCAGCAAAATTACAGAGATCATAAGGTTAAAAGCACGTTTTTTAACTCTCCTAATAAAATAATATCAAAAAATCGGAAAGTCTTCTTTACTTTGCGATTTTATCATTTGCTTTTTCAAAAAAATTCAGCAAATTCACTGAAAAGTTAACTCTTCATTTAAAACAAAACAATTCAATTCAATTCGTACATAACATCTAACTAAAGTTAGTTATTCTATTTCAATTCTAACAAATATTAATAATATAATAAATATTCTAACATCCAATTTCTGTAATAGAGTCCGTCGGGCGACCTCTACTTTTACGTTTTTTCGAACTTTCATGATCTCTAGAGCACGAAGAAATAAGTCTTCCGTTTCCGTCTGTCTGTCCGTCTGTCCGTCTATTTGTCCGTCTGGGGTTTTTTTGTATGAAATACCATAGTCCTACACATGTAGTTTCTAATTCCGTATTGAACTTTTTACCCGAAATGTACATAACATTTTGCAATTTAATTTTGAATCTGCAAAACCGAATACCTACTCTGAAGCCTTGCAGTGTTTTTGTTTTACTCTGTGTAGGCTTCTTTTCACAGAATCAAACTTAAAACATGTTAAAAATGGAAAACTTGTATAAGGAGATATCGATGTTGCAATCAGGCCCCATCCCATCATTGCAAAATCCAAATTTCCTTGCAAAAATGTAACATTTTAGCTATGTTCTAAGTTTCTTGTGGTGAAAAGATGGCTAAGAAAAAAAGGCAAAATATAAGCCCCTCCCATCCGCCCTGCCTCAATTCTGATGATTTCTTTTATTCGTCGTAAGCCGAGGAGCGGAGATTAATTGTAAAATCCTTATTTTCTTAGGAGAAATTACCATGCAAGATATGTTCTTAAGTAACCTTGTTATACAAAGACAAGTAATTGTATTATTTAAAAAAGAAAACGAAAAGAGAAGCCCCACCTACCGTCTCGATGTCAATCGTGATAAATTCTTCATTCGTTGGCAGACCTAGAGGCGGAGCCTAATTGCAAGATCCATATTTTCTTACAACAATTTATAAATTTCAAACGTGTTTTGAGTTTCTAGGAATAAAAAATTGATTACAATGGAGATGGGGTGGGTGGGCGGGGTTTAATATTTTGCCTTTTTCTTAATATACATAGTATTCTTTCAATAACATGATACTCAAAAACATGTTTTTAATTTCCTGTAAAGAAATAAGTATTTGGCAGTTAAGATCCGCCCCTTTGGTTGACAGCGAATTAAAAAAATCACCAATATTGAAATAGGGCGGGTGGGCGGGTTTGCATTTTTGTTTCAATAACGGGGCAATATTTTCGAAATATTCGGAGTGAAATTCGAAATTTTAGAAATTCTTAAAAAGTGCCATATTTCGGTGAGCGATTCTGGAAAAACGGTCAAAAAGTATACATAGTGGAAAATTTCAAGGTTATAGATCTTGACGTGTTGATTCCAACAACGTAGCGTCTTTAGGGTCACGGAGCAATATTTTCAAAATATTCAGAGTGAAATTGGAATTTTTTGAGATTTTTAAAATTTGAGATATTTCAATGGGCGACTCTGAAAGTCGGTTGGAGTTATAGAAAAAATGAGGTCGGAAGTGACGAAAATATAAGCCCCACCCACCCACCCTATCTGAATTGTGATGATTTTTTTTTTATTCGCCGTGAACCAAGGGACGGAGCTTAACTGCAAAATATTACAAAAAAGGCAAAATATAAACCCCGCCCACCCGCCCTATCTCAATTCTAATGATTTTTTTTTATTCGTCGTAAGCCGAGGGGCGGAGCTTAATTGTAAAATCCTTATTTTTCTGGGAGAAATTACCATGTGAAATATGTTCTTACGTAATCGTGTTATCCAAAGAAAACTAAATGTATTAATTAAAAAAGAAAATTAAAAGATTCATATTAGATATTTATATTTAACGAAAATATATTTACTCAGCTCAAAAGTTTGCCGAATAAATCCTATCTAAATTGTCCAAAATATGCCGACTCTGTACTCATAATTTATCATTCCATTCATATTTTTTGGATTTGCATACACAGGGTGAGTCAAAAAAATTAATGAATGCGTGAATTTATTTTATTGATTTAATCAGGAACTACAAACCCGAATGCTTTGAAATTTTGGAGATGTTTGAAAGTTATCATAACCATGGTAAGTTTTTGATAAAAATATATTTCCTCATCCCCCCTAAAAAAATGGTGACTCAAAATTTTGCTCAATAAATCCTATCTTAAATGAGCAAAATATGATGAGTCAATACTTGTGATTTATCACTGCATTAATATTTTTTAGATTTGCTTATACAGGATGTTTAAAAAAAATTAATAACGGACTCTTATTGTATTGATTAAATCAAGAATTGCAAAACTGATACTTTGAAATCTTCCAGACATTTTGAAGTTATTGTAAGCATATTTTGCCTTTTTTTTAACATACATAGCCATCTTTTAAAATTTAACACATGTTTAAAATAGTACCATTTTTGCAAGGAAGTATGAATTTAGAAATTATGGGGCGGAGCCTAATTTCAAAATCCATATTTTCTTATACAAATTTTCCATTTTAAGCATGTTTTAAGTTTCATGTTATGAAAAGAAGTATACACAGGCAAAATATAAACCCCACCCACCCTGTCTCAATTGTGAATTTCTTAATCTATATAGTCATCTTTTCACAACAAGAAATTATTTAAAACATGGTTAAAATAGTACATTTTTGCAAGGAAATATGGATTTTGAAATTATGGGGCGGAGCCTAATTGCAAAATCGATATTTCCTTATACAAATTTTCCATTATAAACATGTTTTAAGTCTCATGTTGTGAAAAGAAGTCTACACATATTAAAACAAAAAGGCAAAATGTAAGCCCCCCCCACCCGTCCTCTCTTAATTGTGATGATTTTTTTTATTCGCCGTGAACCAAAGGGGCGGAGCTTAACTACAAAATACTTATTTCTTTGGAAGAAATTAAAAACATGTTGTTAATCAAAATGTATTTGTTTATTAACCTCAAAAATTGATTAAGTCGTCTCAAAATTTTCCCGAATAAATCCTTTCGAAAATGTGCAAAATATGATTAAACTGTACTTGCAATTTACTATTGCATTAATGTTTTTTAGATTTGGTTATAAAGGGTAAGTCAAAAAAATTAATGAATTAGGCAAGTTATTAGTATTACCCTGCATCTTGTAAATTGATATACAGTTCTTGCGACAATGTTGATGATGTTATCAAAAAATTTTGTATTAGAAAAAACTCACTTGAAACACACGCATAGCACGTTTTTTTATGTTTACTTTAATATTACATAATATCTTTATTTTAACTTATAAGGGTTATCATGAAAAAAATAAATTCCGACGAGATAACTCCCGATTTGATGCGAACAAAATTTGGGAAGCGGTACTGATGTTGACATTCATGGGTACTAACCTACAATTCATCAGGGAAATATACTCTAAATATTGAAATCAAAACTCGCACATTTTTTACCATTTTAAACTGAATTTAACGAGTTATAGTTAACATTAGAACAATAATCGATAATTAAGTTCGACACGTTAATGTAATTTATAATTGCAGTTTGTAGTATACAGTCGTTTTCAAAAAATTTCGGGCAAGATAAGCAAATTAGGTTCTCAAAAATCAATGAAAAGCAATGGGAAAATGATGAATTTGTAGCAGTGTGTAACACTTTCAGATATGGCAGTACAAAAAAGTGTTCACAATTCTATAAATAAATCCGTAAATTTTGATACTTTTCGCGACTTGATGTAACGACAACGTAATTTAAATTTAATTATTACTACGAACACGTTTACAAAAAAAAATCGATAGGCGCCAGACCGACGAAAATATTAGATTAATCGTGGGAAAAATTACTTTTAAAGATGTTTTTTAGCAACCTGTGAGCTTGTGACAGGGTTATTTAAAATGAGTTCAACATATATGGTCGCGAGCAAAAAATTCTGGTCGTCAGTGTCAGTGTCTGCCAGTTAATTCTGTGTAAAAAAAATGACATTGACGGTCAGAATTTTTTCCTCGTCGCGGTATTTATTCTTTCTTTCAATTACTGACTTTAAATAATAGATTAGAATTGCATCGAACTTATAATATTACAATAAGCTTACTACCTATTACTACGTACTTATTATGTTTTGCATTTTGGTGGATGCGCCGGTTCCACTATAATTTTTTTTTATAATATTAGCTCGTATTTTTTTTACAAGCACTTCACGTAAGTGCTACATATAAATATTATTTTTGTAGTAAGCTACTACAGAATAAAATTGATAATAGATTCCTTCTCATTCAATGCGTACCTATCTTGTCCAGCAAAAATTAATATCAGTTTATACTAAACCGTTGAGCTGCTAAGACCACTGCATGAACACGACCAGCAATAGATAAAAGATCTGTTTACTGTTCTTGCCGTAAGTAGTAAACGTTTTTCCATTTAAAAATATAAAAACAATAGTGTTTATTCGGAAATTTAGAACGTCTGGGTTTCATTAATGCAGTCCGAAATTTGCAACAAAATGCAACCGCCAGACACTGAGGTGAAAATATGCAGCATCACTCGAAAAACTCTACATTACAGTTTCATTTGGCCAAGTGAAGAAAATGAAAACAATCCCAGACACAGTCAGAAATTCACCATTGTCATCTTTCTTTTGATAACGACTCCGTGGTGTTTGTCAATATTGATGCATCTTCTGGTAACATTAAAAGGTATTATTACGTATACTTCAACAAACACTACTAATACTCGACATTACAGATAACGTCGACGTTAACGTTAGCGAAGACGTTGCTTTAATTGTTTGTTTTCTTGGCACATACTACAGCGTCTTTGCTTTTACGAAAAATCAGTCAAAAATAGCATTACTCCTCCAAGATTTATCTAACTTTGAAAGATTCGGAACGCCTCCAGGTTTCAAGAGTCTTGAAAAAAAATTAAATTTATGGTCCAAATGTGCTTTTATGCACGCGATTTTCTCCGTCGTTTTGTACAGTTCAATAAAGTTTGGTCAAAGGTCCAAATGTCAAAAAAACAATGCGCAGAAAAACCTACACGAAAATTGTGGATTTCCAACTGCCATTTGGAGTCCAATCGACATTAACTATTTTCCAGTTTATCAAATGGTGTATTTTTATGTGATGGTATCAATACAGACGTTGATGAAGCTTGTATTCATTATTTCTTTTCTTATGCTGGAAATGGCTCATTATGTTGTACTCAGAATAGAACATTTAGAAAAAATGATTGAAGAGTGTTTTGAAAGCAGGAGCACGGCAATACGGAAAAGGAAAATGCAACAGTGTATTTTATATCACACTGAAATATTAGAGTGAGTATATAAAAAAGACAAGTTGTGTTTCAAATACATAATTTTGTAACAAAATTTTATATTTTTAGATATGCTGCTAGACTAAGGGGCTGTTTTTACAATGATATGTTCGCTCATTTAACTATGACAGCCGCAATTTGTGGATGCTTGGAGAAAACACTTGTCGATGTAAGTCACTGTAAATAAAATAAAAAATTAAAAAATAAAACAGAAATATTCAGGGGGAGTCTCAAGTGTGCACCGCAATTCACGTTTTTGGATGGATTTTATCGTTATTTATGGCTTGTTATGGTGGGCAGCACCTGATAAGTGCGGTATAAATATATATTATTTTTGCGATACTAGACAATTTAAACTATCGAATTATTGTAGAGTGAGTTGTTTTCCACCAAAGTTTGGAATTCACTATGGTATCAAGCCGAACCGAGCTTGCAGAAAGATGTCATCTTCATGCTGTTTAGGTCGCAAAAGACTCTTTCAGTTACCGCAGGTCCTTTCGATGTGGTTTCCTACTCACTTTTTGTTTCCGTAGTATAAAGAATACGTGTTTGAATTCATACTTAATTTGATTTTTTAGGTGATGAAAATGTCGTACACCATAATGTGCTACTTAACGAAATAATTGTACCATTGAAATTATTGTTTTGCCAATTTGTCTTTTTTTATGACAAGCACGCCGTTAGAACCATAGGATCACTGTTTAAATGTGAAAAATAAAATAAATCACAAATTTAATGAAAATATTTTTATCCACTCTTGGCTATATTTTGCTACTGATATAGTTTTTAGGTTACGAAAGTTAAGTAGTTAGGGAAAAAGAGTATAATGTCATATATAAAAATATATTAAAACTGTACCAATAAAATACTAAATGAAAGAAAATTAGAAAACATAATAGATACTGGAATAGATTTGATTAGACTCTACTTCTTCCTTTATTTAGACTACGCGGTTCCCATTTAAACAGCCACGTGGTTCTTATCGAAGTTCTCCGTCACCGCTTCTAGGCTTGTTCTGGAATACCCATCGCGACTTCCGCTTCCAGGCTTTTCGTCACCGACGATGAGTCACCTGCACATACTAGAAAACCCATAGGCGTGGTACCGCGGCAGCGTACCGGGGTTTATTTTGTAACAATATTCCAAATTCATTCTCACGCTACAGAAGGATAACTTTTATCATAGAGTAACGATAAACAAAAATAAGCGGTCGATAAATTCCTTGCAGCACAGTATATCTGGAACATTTGTTTTATAGTATGAAGTAAGTAAATCTTAGAACGACACACTTTTTGTATCAATCTTTTATCAATTATATTGAATTAACATAGACAGATAACAAACAAACGGACGGAAACGAGGTCAAGAAACGTCGAGAAAACTTGCAAGTTAGCGGAATGGACCTTATTGCAATAGTTTTTAGTATACACTGGAGAAGTAAAAGAGAAGTTAGAGATGTTCTTTGAAAACTGGAAACTTTTTATGGAATATTATTACAAAAGTGTTGCTAGATAATTTAGTTTAAAAAAGAATGCGAATCGGGCAACAACGAAAATATTATTCCACAAACAACTGATAAAAAATGATAAGATATTCAGGTGATTGTAGCTGAGTTATCGGTTCTTAAGGGCGACGTGAACGAGATTCTACATGATTTGAGAGTTTACACGAGGTCGAGAGAAACGGCTTCTTTCAAACGGTTTTAAGTTTAAATGTGCGCAATTTGTTTCATTTCCAGCATTCATATTTTGAAATTACTCTTTTTATTGTAGTTATTACAAAATTTTGACTGTACTCTTTAAATAGATTTCCTAAGTTTAGTGCGAGCATTTTTTTATCATGACGGAAATCATAAGGTTTCTTAATATGCGGAATAGGACTTTTTGAAACATAAAGAGAACGTTCTTTAACTCTCCTTTAATTTTGAAAAGAAAAACAAATTCGGAATGTCTTCTTCACCTTGCGACATTTCTTAAATTGTTGTTTCTACAAAAGTAAAAATAAATACTTAGATATTACGCCTAAGACACACATATTGTGGTGACCGAATTTGAATCAAATAAAAAAAAAAACAATAAAAAAATGGTTAAATATAGGCAACCATGTGCACGTTAACGCTTGTTGGGTAGTTGTAGCTCGTTACAGGATTCTAGTTAGAGGGTTGGTAGGCAAGATGGTGGCATGGCGAAAGCATGATGAAAGCGTCATTGTTGTTTTGGTTTCGTGAATGAGAACATGGCGAAAAGACGCTGTAAGTTAGCTACACCACCGTTTTCCCCAACACACGCAGCTAATTCTTGCGGCTTTCTAATCAGAAAAAGTGCTTTTTTTCGACCGACGCTACACGTACTGTAAATTTGTCTTATTGTTTGTAAATTCACCGATCAGGTTAAGATTTTAATCGTTAGCTGGTTCTAACACAATTTAACAGACAGTAGATTCGTTTAGAGAAACACTTACTAGGAGATTTCATGAAATTCACTTAGTCAGGGTAACACCCTTTGTTTACAAGTTATGAATGAGGTTTTTGGAGGCATATAAGTGTTACAGTTTAACACTTCTTAATTCTTCACACAAGATTTGTTAAAAATTACATCACCGAGGCATTTCCTCGAAACGCTAAAAATTACATCACCAAGACGCTTATTTCTCGCAACGCTGAATGGATATTTGTATGTTTATTTATCATGTGCCTTGTTTGGGTTTCACGATATGAACCGTCAAAACAAATTGTTTTAAGTAACCAATCACTTGGATCATGGCACAATGTAACATCATATACCTAAATTCTTTGTTTGAATCCTTGATAAAGTGTGGTAAATATTAATCTCATGTAAATTTGTTAGCTTTACAATTTTTACCTCATACAATTTTTCTCTATCTCACAATTTTAACTTTAGAAATTTTCTTTGTTGTATAATTCAAATTGAACGTAAAATTCCATGCTCTGCGGTTTTAACCTCAAGTAATATTTTTATTTTCACAAGTTTATTTCACAGCAGATTTTTTGTCCAGTTTTAATCTCAAATAAGAATTATTTGTTGTTTAAAATTTCACAAGATTGTATGGCTACGTTAAATGTTGTTTAGTGCTGTTTTTTGAAACTTTGACACTTGTTCATTTGTAGTTTAATATCATAGTTTTAAGAAATTGAACATTTAAAATGGAATTGAGGTAAATAACAGAAACATGTGGCAGAAGCGGAGGGCGCGGTTCCTAGTCGAGCAGGTTATTTATAGCCGTGACTTCCAACCACGAGTTTTCGACCGTAACGGCCTGAATAGCATGGTATGTTCGTCATGGAGGGGTGCTGTGCAGTAGGCTTTCGATAGATAGAATCATCGTCGGGGGGGCAGAACAGCCACGACCGGGAGCCCCAAACTCCGCCTAGCCGCCACACGTCTGTAATAACTTGTGTATTTGCATCCAGTTACTTTACTTCAGATTTTGCTTTGTTTTATTAAATCTGTGATATTCAAATATTTGCACTGATTCAGTCTAATTTGATTTTATTTAAATTTCATCCAAAGTTCGGTAAGTTTTTTTTTGGAGCTGAGAAGCGATTCATTGGGCAGCCTGAGGACAAGTAACGAGTCACCCTCGCACGCAGCTTTTCTTTTTTTTTGTCAGTGGTGTAATAAATAATTTTGCGTCCTCCAGAAATTTGGTGTTTTATTTAGCGGTACTTTTCCATCCTTGGGGTCCACCATTAAAAAAAAGGACAACGTAGGGTTCTATTTTGTCAGACGATTACAGCCAAGATCAAATTTTTAATTTTTCAATTTTCCGCGAGCCTTTCAAACTTTTTCAAGTGTCAATTTAAGGCTAGATATTTGGGTTATCACAATATTTTGACCAAAGCATCTACATATTTTTAAAGTCATCGCTTTTATTGTTCTAACGTTTTTCAAGCGTGAATTACAATAATTCTCGTTAACCCAAGCTCAAAACAACAAAGCAGTCGTTTTCAAAACTCTTGGTGCTTTGAGTACGAAAATTTTGTATTTGTGTTAGGAAGCGAACACCCGGAATATGGTTTATTCTGTTGAATGAGACACTTTCATTGTTGTCTTATTATCGCAATGAAACATTCGTAAACATAGAATGTGTGTATTCTGTAACCGCTTGTAAGCAGAAATGTCTGGCCAAATAGCCCGATTTTAAAATTCAAGAAACATCCTTAGAGAGTCACACTAGAAATGTAAACAACATATTTGTTCAACAACGGGAAGTCGTCCGGAAGACCTTCAGTATCTGAGGAAGTTGTTGATGATTTGAGGAGGCTCGAGAATATTTCGCAAACATCTCTAACAAGACTGTCTCAGCAGTCAGGAGTTCCTGCTGCAAATGAAATTGAACAATGGGTCCAAAACATTGATGAAAGGATTTTACAGAACATTTTTGAAATTAAAAATAGGATGAATATGTGCTTTGAACAAAATAGTGAACATTTTCAATATTTATTGTTATGTTCAATCACAATAGCTTGGTTTCTTCTTATTGTAATGAATTAGTTTTATTTTTTAATAAGATGTGAAGCATCTAGGCAACCAGTTATACAGATGCGTGTGGTATTTGTCGTGAGTTCTTGGGCATAAAAATGATACAAACACGCCGAAATAGTGGTGATCGTAAAGAAAATTGAAAAACTTGAAACGACAATTAGATCATTGACTTAATTGAACAGAAATTTTAATGCGATAATTATTATTCCACATGATTCAAGAGAATTTAGACAGTCATAAAGACTGATAAATCGTGAACAGGATCCACACCATCAAACAAATATGAAAGAAATTTTAGAATTAACTTTTCTCTTATATAGGTTATTAAACTAAAGCGTTATAGTCAATTTTTGACCTAACTAACGAAAAGAAAAGGTTACATAAAATTCCGATTTCGGAAAAGTGTCTACACTACAATTCTATAAATAAACCCGTAATTTTTTAAAGCTTTCGCGGCAATATCCTTGACGTGATTATAACAACATAATTGAAATTTATTTTTGAAAGATACGTTTATTAAAAAAAAAATCACAGACGACAAACCGACGAAAAGTATTAGATTAATCGTGGAAAAAATTGATTTTAAATACGTTTTTTAACAACCTGTGGGTTTGTGACAGGGTTATTTCAAATGAATTCAACATATATTTATTCTCTCTTCAAATTACTGTCTTTAAATAATAGGTTAGAATTGCACCGAACTTATAATATTAGAATAAGCTTACTACGTGTATTAGGTATTGAATTTTGGTGGATGCGCCGGTTCCACTATCATTTCCGTTACAATATTAGCTGATATTTTTTACAAGCACTTCACGTAAGTGCTATAATAAAGTATTATTTTCGTAATAAGCTACTAAAGAATAAAATTGTATGCTGTTGGATTGATAATATATTTTCTCATTCAATGCTTAGCTTGTCCAGCAAAAATTAATATCAGTCTGTATTCAACGGTTGAGTTGATGAGACCATTGTAAGATAACAAGAAACAAAAAAAAATATATTCACTTTTCTTGGAGTAAGTTGTAAACGTAATATCTGATTATTTTCGCATTTCATTGTGTTGTAGTGACTGAAGAATAACTTTATTCTGAAATTGGACTTCATTAATGGAGTTCGAAACTTTCAACGAAATGCAACCACCACACACTCAGATTAAAATATGCAGCGTCACTCGAAAAATTCTACATTATAGTTTCATTTGGCCAAGTGAAAAAAATGAAAACCATCCCGGACGTACTCAAAAATTCAACATTTTCATCTTCCTTTTGATAACGACTCCGTGGTGTTTGTCAATATCAATGCATCTCGTTATAACACTAAAAGGTATCATAACGCGTGATTCAACAAATACTACTAATACTCTACATTACAGATAACGTCGATGTTAACGCTAGCGAAGACGTTACTTTAATTTTTTGTTTTCTTGGCACATACTGCAGCGTCTTTGCTTTTACGAAGAATCAGTCAAAAATAGCATTACTCCTCCAAGATCTATCCAACTTTGAAAGATTTGGAATGCCTCCAGGGTTCAAGGACCTTGAAAAAAAATTAAATTTATGGTCCAAGTGTGCTTTTATTTACACATTTTTGGGGGTGATTGTGTACAGTTCAATAAGGTTTGTTCAAAAGTCAACATGTGAGAAAAACAACGCGCAAAAAAACCTGCACGAAATTTGTGGATTTCCGAGTTCGATTTGGATTCCAGTCGATGTTAATTATTTTCCAGCTTACCAACTGGTTTATCTTTATGTGATGGTATCAATACAGACATTGATGAAGCTTGTACTCATGATTTCGGTTCTAATGCTGGAAATGGCTCATTATATTGTGTTGAGAATTAAGCATTTAGAAAAAATGATTGTAGAGTGTTTTGAAAGCAGAAGCACGACAATACGAAAAAGGAAAATGGAGCAATGTATTTTATATCACATTGAAATATTACAGTAAGTAAAAAAGACAGGTTTTGTTACTAATATATAACTTTCTAACGAAATTTTTTATTTTTTAGATATGCTGCTAGACTAAGTAACTGTTTCTTTAATGATATGTTCGCTCATTTAACTATGACAGCCGCAATTTGTGGATGCTTGGAGAAAACACTTATCGATGTAAGTCAGTGTAGATAAATAGTATAATAGGTAAAACATAAATATTTAGGAGGAGACTCAAGTGTGCACCGCAATTCACATATTTGGATGGATTTTATCGCTATTTTTTGCTTGTTATGGTGGACAGCATCTCATGAGTGCGGTATATATTTTCTTTTTGCGATACTAGACAATTTCGATAGTCGAACTATTGTAGAGTGACTTGTTTCCCACCAAAATTTGGAATTCACTATGGTACCAAGCAGAACTGAGCTTACAGAAAGATGTCATGTTCATGCTGTTTAGGTCACAAAAGACTCTTTCAGTTGCCGCAGGTCCTTTTGATGTGGTATCCTACTCACTTTTTGTTTCTGTAGTATAGAGAATAAGTGTTTGGACTCGTACTTAATGTGATTTTTTAGGTGATGAAAATGTCGTACTCCATAATGTGCTATTTATCGAAAGGGAAATAATACTGTACTATTGAAATTTTTGTTTTGCTGATTTGTCGTTTCTTATGACAAGCAGACTGGTAGAACCATAGGAGTATCATTGTTTAAATGTGAAAAAACAAAATAAATTACAAATTTAATGAAAATATTTTCATCTCAGTATTGGCTATGGTCGGCTATTGATTTAGTGTTTAGGTTACGTAAGTTAGGTAGTCAAGGAAAAACATTGTAACGTAATATATAAAAATATATTAAAACTGTAGCAATAAAATATTAGTTAAAAGAAAATTAGGAAACACAATTTTTTTTAATTCTGCAACTTTTTGTGGGCCTGAAACAAGCTCATTGTTTTTTCATCTTTTCGACCGATCTGTGAGTTTTTGTTTTCTGCTGTCACATTTACATCAATGTTTTAGCAGCATTTTTGTCACGGAAGTCACAGTAATGTCTATATCTTTTATATTGTTACGTCGAACGGGTGATTAATATTGGCGTGGGTAAAACTCAACAATTTATTTCGTAGTAATTCGAATTTACACGACTGATTATTGATCTAAAAAGCAATCCCACCAAAATTAAAAGTGAAGGATCAAGGTTTAGTATTCTCCACGCGGGTGGTTCAACGGAGTTCTTGGATGGTTGTAAAATTTTTTTAATTCAAAAAATAACGATATCTATCATAAAACGATGGACGGGACAATTTTTCAAAATTGGGTGTTTAATCAGCTCATTCCTGCTTTGGCAAAGTTGAACCAAAAATGTGTGGTGGTTTTAGACAATGCATCGCATCATTCGGTTCACTTGGATAAACCACCCACTTTTTCTAATAAAAAATGTGAAATGTGGGAATGGCTCTTTAAACATAGTGTTGAATTTGACAAAAATTTTTCGAAAAAACAGTTGTGGGATTTAATTAAATCCTTCAGAAACAACAGAAAAAAGATATTTGGTTGACAAGACATTAAGAGAAAGTGGCCATGAAGTTCTTAGATTACCTCCGTACCATTGTCAATATAATCCAATTGAAATGGCGTGGGGATTTTGTAAGAACTATTACAACAAGCTTTTAAATTCTCAACCTTCATTAAAAAATAGGGTGGAGAATTTATGGCTTGAGGCGCTTTCTAAATGTACTCCAAGCATGTGACACAATTTTTGTAAACATTGTGAAAAGCTTATTTTGGCAGATTGGGAAAAAAAATGGAAATCTTTCGTACGAATCTATACCTCCTTTCATTATTTCGCTAGGTGAATCTGAATTTGAAAATGACGGTGATGATATAGATTTTCATAGCGAAATAATGGAAATGGAGTGAATTGTAGTTTGTCGGGGGGTGATATTTTTACGCATCTTTCGTTCTAAATTTACGAAGGTAGTATGTGAAAAACTACCTGATGTTCAACAAAATCAGTATAATTTTAGTTAGATCATCCATGTTGTTACTTTTCACCAAATTTTAAGCATTTTCATTTTTTTTGTAACTCTTCATGGACCTGGAGAAGGGCTATAGTAACGTTCTTATTAATGAGCGTTTGGAAGTACTTAGTAAAAGCAAATAAAGAGCACTTACGTAAGCATTAGTAATAGCTATATAGATAAATCATTCAATATAAGGCCGGAAAAATGTTTCAGAAGAGCTAAACCCATCAAAGCACTAGAGCAAGGTTGTTGTCTTTTTTCAACCCTTTTAGTAATCCTAGAAAAGTAAAAAGAAGTTGAAAGATGTGGAAATAGGCTGTTCACAAAGGTCTAAATTTCCATTTCTAAGAAGAGTGGGCGAGCAGAACGAACTGATGATTGAGAATTGAAGATGAGATCCTAAATGTGGCATGCGACAATAGTCGTATGTAGAACCCCCTTTCATATAAAAACAATGTTTAAGTGAAATTTTCGTGTTTGTTCCTTACATATGAAATAAACACTTACAAAAAGCCGAATAACTGTTTTAAATAGCGTAAAGTTTTATGCTTTCTAAGAAATGGATACCGTTAACTTGGTCACTGCTACTGAAAATTGAAAGTATCGGCAACAATGTTTATATTTCTGGCATATTGTTTAACCTTTATTTAATGAAACATAACCTAATGAAAAAAGTTCAGGGAATTTTTATTCTTCTGCATCGAATACCAACAAACTTACTAGATTTTCATGGCCAACCCTACTATATAAATATCGTGAACGGATAATAAATTGTTGAGTTTAAACCAGCCGATTTTAAATACCCAATTATCGTAACAATGCTATACGACTAGCATCATAAAAACAATAAAAATAAAGGGGTCGTTATTATCTGTTTTTTAAATACATAGGTACATATAAATGGAGAAAGTGATAGGGAAAACTATCTTACGACGACTATGTTTTCTTATACTGAGTTTCTCTTCTGGTCAGAATCTCTCTTAACATTTAAAACCTTTACTGTTCATTTTAAAAAAACACTTCGAATCTTCTTTTCTTCCCGTTAGGTGTTTCTCCAATCATAATTTCATCGAGGAACGTTTTACCAGAATTTTTTTTATCGTAGTCACAGTAATCGTTCACCTGTTGTAAATCAACAGCAAGGCCGATTTTCTTCAGATTGCTCAACTTCCTTTATCTTTGAAAAGAAAAAAAATTTCGGAATGTCTTCTTCGCTTTGCGACCTAAATTTCTTTTTCATTTGTTTCTTAAAAAAGCAAATTGACTGAAAAGTGCGAATAGTCATACATCATCCATACTCACTTTGAAGTTTTCCCACTGTTCCTCAGGGTATTTTCCCGCTATGAAGTTGTTAGCTTTTTCGGTAGGGTTCTTGAAATAATAAGCTTGAATTTCTTCTTCAGTTAAATCGCTGAACTCGGTATGATTTATTTTAAAATATACTAAATTTTCTTTGACTTTTTTATTGTTTTCTTCCATGTGTGCGTACCGGGAAAAATAAATTTGTTTGTGTATTGTGTCCTCATCCTTATCTTTGTATTCTTTACTAAATTGTGTCTATAAATGTAAAATTATTTAAATAATACGTTTAGACCACACGTACCTTATAAAGGTCCCATTTTTTGGGAAACGCGAGCTTGTCTGTGAGAGACAACTATTGATTGTGGATTCTGTTGTTGCGAAACATCATGTAAGTGTAGTAGATTCAACGAGCACAATGATTTTTATTTAATTTATTTGACAACTCACTGGTATTTTGACCTAATTAGAAAGTATTTTGTTGGCTTCATTGATTATGACAACATAATCTAAATTTAACTAAAAAAATCCACAGACGACAGACAGTCGGGAATGCGAGGCCTTTATTTAAATTATTGATTTTAAATAATATGTTGCTGACTCTATAATGTCTTACAATTTGGTGGATGCGCCGGTTCCAGTATTATTTACTTTACATAATTTATATCAAGAACTTCTCGTAACTGCATATACAAAGTATTATTTTCATAATAAGTTACTGTAGAATAAAATTGTATGTTATTTAGTTGGTAACATATACTCCTTCAATGCTATTCTTGTCCAGCAAAAATTAATATCAGTCTGTACTAAACCGTTGATGGCACCATTGTGAACAATGAGCAACAACAAATAAAAAGTCCATTCCCTGTTCTTGGAGGAGGAAGAATTATAAAAACCTATAGTGTTGTAGTGGGTTTCATTAGAAACTTGCAACGAAATGCAGCTGCGACACACTCAGATAAAAATATGCAGCGTCACTCGAAAAATTCTCCATTACAGTTTGATTTGGCCAAGTGAAGAAAATGAAAACAATCCCGGACGTAGTCAAAAATTCAACATTTTCATCTTTCTTTTGATAACGACTCCGTGGTGTTTTTCAATATTGATGCATCTTCTTGTGACATTAAAAGGTATTATTACGTATACTTCAACAAACACTACTAATACTCAACGTTCCAGATAAGGTTGACGTTAACGTTAGTGAAGACGTTGCCTTAATTGTTTGTTTTCTTGGCACATACTACAGCGTTTTTGCTTTTACGAAAAATCAGTCAAAAATAGCATTACTTCTCCAGGATCTATCCAACTTTGAAAGATATGGAATGCCTTCAGGTTTTAAGAATCTTGAAAAAAAATTAAACCTATGGTCCAAATGTGCTTTTATATACGCAATTTTCGCCGTGGTTGTGTACAGTTTAATAAAGTTTGTTCAAAGGTCCAAATGTCAAAAAAACAATGCGCAGAAAAATCTGGAGGAAAATTGTGGATTTCCAACTGCCATTTGGAGTCCAATCGACATTAACTATTTTCCAGTTTATCAAATGGTGTATTTTTATGTGATGGTATCAATACAGACGTTGATGAAGCTTGTATTCATTATTTCTTTTCTTATGCTGGAAATGGCTCATTATGTTGTACTCAGAATAGAACATTTAGAAAAAATGATTGAAGAGTGTTTTGAAAGCAGGAGCATGGCAATACGGAAAAGGAAAATGATTGAATGTATTTTATATCACACTGAAATACTAGAGTAAGTAAAGACTGGTTTTGTGTCAAATATATAATTTTCTAACAAAATTTTATTTTTTCAGATATTCTGCTAGACTAAGCAACTGCTTCTTTAATGATATGTTCGCTCATTTAACTATGACAGCCGCAATTTGTGGCTGCTTGGAGAAATCATTTATCGATGTAAGTCAGTGTAAATAAAATCAAAATATAAAAAATACAACCTCAATATTCAGGGGGAATCTCAAGTGTGCACCCTAGTTCACATATTTGGATGGATTTTATCGCTATTTTTTGCTTGTTATGGTGGACAGCATCTAATGAGTGCGGTATATATTTTCTTTTCGCAATACTCGACATTATAGTGGTGTGGAACTATTGTAGAGTGACTTGTTTCCCACCAAAATTTGGAATTCACTATGGTACCAAGGAGAACTGAGCTTACAGAAAGATGTCATCTTCATGCTGTTTAGGTCACAAAAGACTCTTTCAGTTGCCGCAGGTCCTTTTGATGTGGTATCCTTCTCACTTTTTGTTTCTGTATTATAAGGAATAAGTGTTTGGACTCTGACTTATTTTGATTTTTTAGGTGATGAAAATGTCGTACACCATAATGTGCTACTTAACAAAAGGGAAATAGTATAAGACTTATTGAAATTTTTGTTTAGCTAATTTGTCGTTTTGTTGTGACAAGTATGGCACTAACCCCATAGGATTTTATTTTTTAAATCTAAAAAAAGGAAATAAATAAATCACAATTTAATGAAAATATTTTCATCTCACTGTTGTGTACGTTCCACTTTTGAATTAATTTCTGATGTTACGAAAGTTATAGAGTCAAGGAGAAATAATATAATGTAATATATAAAAATATATTAAAACAATACTAATCAAATATTAAATTAAAGTAAATTAGAAATTTTGTTGATTATGACATATTTGTTATTATTTTCAAATTCATTCTCACGCTACAGAAGGATAAGTTTTACATTTGAAATCTCTGTTTTACAATATGAAGTACCTAAGTAAATATTAGAAAGACAAACTTTTTTTATATCAGTCTTTTATCAATTATATTGAATTAACATAGTCGGATAACAGACAGACAGACAGAAATGGGATTTTCATACTCTAGGGTTCAAGAAACATGGAGAGAACCTGAAAGTAGTCATTCGCCGATTGCATCTTATAACAATAGGTTTTAGAGAAGAGTTCTGCGGGGTTTTATCCAGTGACATAATGATATTGTGAGCTATTCGTCATTTTTTTTTGCATGTATTTCGCAATCACCTTGTATACTACCATCCAATTTTTGTAATAGAGTCCGCCGTCTGTCTGTCCGTCTGTCTGTCCGTCTGTCTGTCCGTCTGTCCGTCTGGGGTTTTAAATTGTATGAAATACAATTTAAAACCCCAGACGGTAAATAATCAGAAACTACAAGTCCTACACTTGTAGTTTCTGATTCCGTATTGAGTTGTTACCCGAAACATAAATAACACGTTATAAAATAACATTTTGCAAATTAATTTTGAATCTGCAAAACCGAATACTTTAAAGTGTTGCAGTGTTTTAAGGTTATGATAAGCATGATAAATACAGGGTGTTATTGAAAGGTACGTACAACAAAATGGACAGTCCTTCGCGAAGTCTAAGAAGTTGGAAAAACTTATTTTGTCTTATCAAAATTTTAAGGGGAAAATTAACCCTTATCCAATCTTTTTAGACGCTACTGAAGGATAAATAGGTAAAATTAATTTTTTTTAGTAAATCCTAGCAACTGTAACAATAAAACTTTTGTTAAGACTAAATGTTGCTACAGAAACGAAAGATGATCATTTTATCGGAGGCGTACAACGAATTTGGAGATAAATTTTAATAATTTTTATCTCTAAAAGGAGAACACTTTCACCTGAACTTTTTTTAACTTTTAGCACCCACACTTGGAGCCCAATTGCCGATTTTATGTTGTACGTACAGGCTGTATTTAATCAAATTATATTTAAATTGTTCAAAATATGATGAGATGAGTCTGTACTTGTAATTTATCATTCCATTCATATTTTTAGGATTTGCATATACAGGCTGGGTCAAAAAAAATAATGAATGCGTGAATTTATTTTATTGATTTAATCAGGAACTACAAAACCCAATGCTTGGAAATATTGGTGATGTTTGAAAGTTATCGTAGCCATGGTAAATTTTTGATCAAAATATATTTGCTCATCCCCCCTAAAAAACTGGTGACGACATCTCAAAATTTTGTTGAATAAATCGTATCTTAAATGAGCAAAATATGATGAGTCCATACTTGTGATTTATCACTGCATTAATATTTTTTAGATTTGCTTATACGGGATGTCTCAAAAAAATTAATAACGGAGTTTTATTTTATTGATTAAATCAAGAATTGCAAAACTGATACTTTGAGATCTTCCAGACATTTTGAAGTTATTGTAAGCATACTTTGCCTTTTTTTTTTCTTAACATACATAGCCATCTTTTAAAATTTAATAAATGTTTAAAATAGTACATTTTTGCAAGGAAGTATGAATTTTGAAATTTTGGGGCGGAGCCTAATTTCAAAAACGATATTTCGGTTTTAAACATGTTTTAAGTTTCATGTTGTGAAAACAAATCTACACATATTAAAACAAAAAGGCAAAATATAAGCCCGCCTAATCGCCCTATCTCGATTGTGATGATTTTTTTTATTCGCCGTGAACCAAGGGGCGGAGCATCTGCAACATACTTATTTCTTTACAAGAATTTAGAAACATGTTTTAGAGTATCGTGCTGCTCTCTTTATACTAGGTATATTAAGAAAAAAAGGCAAAATATAAACCCCACCCACCCACCCTGTCTCAATTGTGATGATTTTTTTTATTCGCCGTGAACTAAGGGGGCGGAGCTTAACTGCCAAATACTTACTTCTATACAAGAAATTTAAAAACATGTTTTTGAGTATCGTGTTGTTGAAAGAATATTATGTATATTAAGGAAAAACGGCAAAATATAAACTCCGCCCTCCCACCCCATCTCAATTGTAAAGTTTTATTCTTGGAAACTTAAAACACGCTTAAAATGGTACATTTTTGTAATGAGAAAGGTATGAATTTTGCAATTAGACTCGGCCCCTAAGTGTGCCAACGAATGGAAACTTCATTACTATTTAGATTAGGGCAGGTATGGGTGGGGCTTTTTTATATCTGTAACTATGATACAATTTGGAGTCATTTGACACATTTTTTCTATGCTTATTTGCTTTTTTTTCAATTTTATGCATATTAAAACTTATAGATATGCTTATTTAATGCTTTTTTCGACGAATATGAATTTTAATGCATATTTTGTTCAAATGCCCGCCTTGTCGGGATGACAAATACTTGTTAGTTAGCCGTATCGCATCGTATGCATTTTACCTGGACTTGACTATTGAAGTACACTTACTCAAGACCCTTTCTGTGAATAGGTTCCTGTCGTTTGGGTAATAAAATTTTATTATAGGATTGGAAAAATACTCCATAGATTTTATGACTTTAAATCCTTACTTCCGTTGATAATGAATTAAAGCTTTTAACCAGATGTTCTTTTTCGGCATTTTGCGGCAAGACCGTTGAAGATTTTCTAGAAAAAAGGATTATTGTACCCAACTACCTACCTTAAAATTTTTCTAATGGAAACTTTTTAGTAAATGAACCGTTTATTTCACAACCATCAGTCTATCGCATCTGTCGTAGTACAGTGTTATACGTCGTTCTCCCTTGTTACATGTTGAGTTCTTTTTGGTAACATTACTAATATTTTAAAAGAATGCCGAAAGTAAAATCGACGCCGGATGAATGGATAAGGGATTTTCCAGAATTAAAATTAGAAAACAACAACATATTCTGTAGAGCTTGTGTGCAAACCGTAAGCCCATTAATTTTTTTTTATTTATTTTCCTTTGTTAATCCTGTATATGTACGTTGTTTTAGATTCAAAGTGATAAAAAATATAACGTGACGCAACATGTCAGAACGACTCTTCATGTAGAAAGGAAGAAAATGTTTGAAGTTTCTAAAATTAAACAGCAGACCATACATGAATCTATTGCATCTACTTCCACAAAAGACGATCAGTTTCAGTTTAATTTCGATTTATGTAAAATGATGATGCAGTCCAATATACCTTTAAAAAAATTGGAGAAAGGACCTCTTCAAGAATTCCTTGAAAAACACTGCAATCGACATATTCCGGTTGAAAGTACTCTCTGAAAAAATTATGTAGGCCCAGTGTTTCAGCAAGTTTACAACGAAATTAAACATCGCATTATGGTTCGCTGTCGATGAAACAACCGATAGTTGTGGAAGATACGTGGCAAGTTTAATTGTTGGGATCTTAAATGAAAATTATTCTAGTTGAGGGTATGTAGAAAGTTTGAAAATGTTAGATAAAACAAATGGCAATACGATTACCAGATTTGTAAATGACAGTCTTACGTCACTATTTTTGTCAAATGCCGTACCGGCGAATAAAATTTTATTGATGATCTAGGATGCAGCTCGTTATATGTTGAAAGCAGGGAATAATCTAAAAATATTGTACCCCAATTTAATTAATTCTACTTGCATTGCCCACGGTTTAAACAGAGTGGCTGAAGGAATACGTTTGCAGTTTCCTACTGTTAATAAATTAGTGGCAAATGGTAAAAAGATTTTTGTTAAAGCCCCACTAAGAGTGCAACATTTTAAGGAAAAATTTCCAAACATACCATTGCCCCCAGAGTAGATTATAACGAGGTGGGGAACATGGTTACAGGCCACATTTTATTATGACAAATATATCAAAGAATTTGAGGAAGTAGTTACGGAATTTAGCGAAGATTCTTCTCAATCGATTAAAGATTGCAAAATATTTTGGAAAACAAAGATTTGCGACAAGATCTAGCTTTTCTAAGAAGCAATTATCAATTCGTATGTGAGGTAATAGAAAAGTTAGAAAAACCCAACATGTTGTTGGTAGATGCCATAAACTTAGTGAAAGAATTTAAACAACAAGCAAACGCAGTAAGGGGTGATATTGGTACTAGAGTATCTCAAAAACTTGACGAAGTGTTAAATAAAAATGCAGGTTTCGGTGTTCTTTCCGACTTTGCTCGTGTTTTACAAGACCAGAAGGTGGAAAATTTGGAGTTAGATTCAACATTAGTTGCAAAATTCAAATTTGCGCCAACAACGAGTGTGGATGTTGAACGCACATTCTTCAATTTTAAACACATTTTAAACGATCGGCGAAAAAATTTTACAGTGGACAACTTGGAACATATTACAATCATAAATTGTTTTAAAGAAAACTGAAATACGTGTGTAAAATATAAAGTCTAGGATTATTGTAATAATATTTTATCCAAAGTTCTAAGAAATGTTCATTGATTTGTAATATGATTATGTTTTTAATGCTTTTTGCTTAAAATAAAGCTTTTTTAATGAAAGTGTTATGCTTATTTAATGCTTTTTTGCTTAAGATAAAACTTTTTTATTGAAAATGTTGTGCTTATTTAAGCGCTTATTCTTAATTTTTTTGTGCTTATAAATCCGCTCTCTACTTATTACATTAGTTTTTACCATACACTGTGGAAATAAAACAGGAATCAGAGATGTTCTTTGAAAACTGCTTTGTAGCAGTTTGTTGATGTGCCTCAATTAAGCTGAGTTTTTACGGAATATATACTATAAAGGTGTGAGTGGATAATTCAGTCCAAAAACGAACGCGAATCGGGTAACGACAATATTATTCCACAAACAAATGATAAAAAAGTGATAAGATGTTAAGGTGAATGTATTGCTAAGTTAACGGTTCCTAAGACTGACGTGATCTGACTTATTAATTACCTAACTAATGACTAGAAAAAATGAAAAGGGGATGACTACAAGGGTGGTTCTAATAAGCAATAACCAAGTATAAAATAAAGTCGATAAAAAATACATAGTTTTGCTCACAGTTTATTAGTCCTTGATGATGTTGGATTTGGTACGGAGTAACTGAACTTTCCCATGAACCAAGTTACGAAATCAATTTGTTATAAGTTGACCTTGTTCTGATAGTCGAAGTTCATCGAAATCTTCTCACTTCTGATACTAACATTTGTTATGAAATCAATACTTCTCAGTGGAATCGTATAATTAGTCATATTTTAACTTTCATGTTTATATACATCTGGTACTATATAAAATGGTACTTTCTTGTTGACAGGTAATAAATGAAAAAAATATTGTGCAAAGAAAAAGCATTTTATTTTTCTCAAATAGAATTAGCGCAATTGTAAACGCCCATTTTTACATGATAAGCTCAGTTTTACTGAGTTGGGGGCGGACGAAATCCACGACAAATGCAGTTACAGCTAGAGTAATTAAAAGCGTCCATTATTACATGATAAGCTCACTTTTTCTCAATTGAGGGTAGACGAAATCCACGACTGCGGGCTCTCTCTTCAGGGGTTTGATCAGAGAAATTATTGATACCCATAGAAAAGGTAACTTCCCCCCGCTCGAATTTTTTGTTGTGCTCTTCAATAGACAGCAAAGTTTCAGTGAAAATTTTCTTCCTCATCTGTTCTTCCTTCTCGTCGGAATAGTTCTTCCCGAATTCCGTCTGTGAATGTGCACGGTAGCAATAAATCGAAGATAAACATGGGCACATGTACTTACCTTGTAGTTCTCCCATTTTTCCGTGATTTCGGCTTCGGTAAAAGCTGCAGCACTCATGGTAACGACGAATAGGAATACAGTGTACGTAAAGAAAGCAGAGCTTATAAACGGGAGATAAGCGAGTTATCTAGAAAGTTGTTAGTTCTGTGAACTGAAACGCAGTGGCGATTGATGGGAAGTGAGTCGTCTGTTTGTTAACTTTATCGACAAGTAAACTGTATCTAGAACAGCATTGAATAGTCGAGTACTACCTTAAAATTTTTGGATGGATGTGGTCAAACCTAAGAATGAAGTGAAGAAATGAAGAAAGAGTAATAATCATAAGATAACCAAGGACAAATAGACAAGGAAAAGTGTAATTATGTAATTTTCTGTGACTCGTTAATGAAATGAAATTGCTGGAAATGTAGACATTTCAAAACGTTGGATCAATTTGTAAAATGTTCTTATTATATGTTTTTTAAATATACATGGGAAAACTGTTTCTTCTCATCAGTATCACTTCTTTCCATTTAAAAGCTTTACTACTCATTTAAAAAACGCTCTGAATCTTTTTCTTTTCCCTTTAGGTTTTTCGTCAGTCACAACATCATCCAGAAACGTGTTATCTGAATTCTTGTTATGGTAGTCACAGTAACGATTCACGTGTTGTAAATCAATAGCAATACCGACTTTTTTGAGATCGTTTACTTGTTGCTCAATCTCTTTTAACTTCGAAAAGAAAAAAAATTTCGGAATGTCTTCTTCACTTTGCGACTTAAATTTCTTTTTCATTTGTTTCTTAAAAAAGCAAATTGACTAAAAAGTGCAAATAGTCATACATCATCCATACTCACTTTGAAGTTTTCCCACTGTTCTTCAGGGGTTTTTCCCGCTATGATGATGTTAGCTTCTTCTGTAGGATTCTTGAAATAATGCATTTGTATTTCCTCTTCAGTTAGATCGCTGAACTCGGTATGATTTATTCTAAAATATACTGACTTTTCGTTGTAATTTTTATTGTTTTCTTCAATCTGTGCGTACCGGGAAAAATAAATTTGTTTGCGTATTGCGTCTTCATCCTTATCTTTATATTTTTTCTTAAATTGTTTCTACAAAAGTAAAATTACTTAAATTACACGCGTATGCCACACATACCTTATACAGGTTCCATTTTTTTGGAAACGCGAGCATGTCTGTGAGAGACAGCTTTTGACTTTGGATCCTGTTGTTTCGAAACATGATCTAAGTGTAGTATATTCAACAAGAACAATTTATTACATTTTGAAATTCTAAATTAATTTGACAACTCACTGGCATTTTGACACAAATAGAAATTAATTTGTTTCTTTCATTGATTGACAACATATTATCCGTTCACGATCTTTATATAGTAGGGTTGGCCATGAAAATCTAGTGAGTTGTTGGTAGTCGATGCAGAAGAATAAAAATTCCCTGAACTTCTTTCGTTAGCGATACTTTCAGTTTTTAGTAGCAATGACCAAGTTAACGGTATCCATTTCTTAGAAAGCGTAAAACTTTACGCTACTTAAAACAGTTATTCGGCTTTTTGTAAGTGTTTATTTCATATGTAAGGAAGAAACACGAAAATTTCACTTAAACATTGTTTTTATATGAATGGGGGTTCTACATACGACTATTGTCGGATGTCACATTTAGGATCTCATCTTTAATTCTCAATGATCAGTTCGTTCTGCTCGCCCACTCTTCTTAGAAGTGGAAATTTCGACCTTTGTGAACAGACTATTTCCATATGTTCCAACTTCTTTTTTCACTTTTCTAAGATTACTAAAAGGGTTGGCAAAAGACAACAACCTTGCTCTAGTGCTTTGATGGGTTTAGCTCTTCTGAAACATTTTTCCGGCGTTAAATTGAATGATTTATTTATATGTTGCAGCTAATATCCGAAATCTGTTGTTATGCATAATAACTATACATTTTAGGAATTATGCGTAATATAACTAAACTTATCACTAGAGAGCGGATTTATAAGCACAAAAAAATTATGAATAAGCGCTTAAATAAGCACAACATTTTCAATAAAAAAGTTTTATTTTAAGCAAAAAAGCATTAAAAAGATAATCAGATTACAAATCAAAGAACACTTCTTAGAAATTTGGATAAAATATTATTACAATAATCCTAGACTTTATATTTTACACACGTATTTCAGTTTTCTTTAAAACAATTTATGATTGTGAAATGTTCCAAGCTGTCTACTGTAAAATTTTTTCGCCGATCATTTAAAATGTGTTTAAAATTGGAGAATGTGCGCTTAACATCCACACTCGTTGTTGGCGCAATTTTGAATTTTGCAACTAATGTTGAATCTAACTCCAAATTTTCCACCTTCTGGCCTTGTAAAACACGAGCAACGTCGGAAAGAACACCGAAACCTGCATTTTTATTTAACACTTCGTCAAGTTTTTGAGATACTCTAGTACCAATATCACCCCTTACTGCGTTTGTTGTTGTTTAAATTCTTTCACTAAGTTTATGGCATCTACCAACAACATGTTGGGTTTTTCTAACTTTTCTATTGCCTCACATACGAATTGATAATTGCTTCTTAGAAAATCTAGATCTTGTCGCAAATCTTTGTTTTCCAAAATATTTATGCAATCTTTAATCGATTGAGAAGAATCTTCGCTAAACTGCGTAACTACTTCCCCAAATTCTTTGATATATTTGTCATAATAAAATGTGGCCTGTAACCATGTTCCCCACCTCGTTATAATCGGCCCTGGGAGCAATAGTATGTTTGGAAATTTTTACTTAAAATGTTGCACTCTTAGTGGGGCTTTAACAAAAATCTTTTTACCATTTGCCAATAATTTATTAACAGTAGGAAACTGCAAACGTATTCCTTCAGCCACTCTGTTTAAACCGTGGGCAATGCAAATAGAGTGAATTAAATTGGGGTACAATATTTTTAGATTATTCCCTGCTTTCAACATATAACGAGCTGCATCCGAGATCATCAATAAAATTTTATTCGCCGGTACGGCATTTGGCAAAAAAATGACGTAAGACTGTCATTTACAAATCTGGTAATCGTATTGCCATTTGTTTTATCTAACATTTTCAAACTTACTACATACCCTCGACTAGGGAAATTTTTATTTAAGATTCCAACAATTAAACTTGCCACGTATCTTCCACAACTATCGGTTGTTTCATCGACAGCGAACCATAAATTATTATCTCCAATGCGATGTTTAATTTCGTTGTAAACTTGCTGAAACACTGGGCCTACATAATCTTTTCGGAGAGTACTTTCAACCGGAATATGTCGATTGCAGTGTTTTTCAAGGAATTCTTGAAGAGGGCCTTTCTCCAATTTTTTTAAAGGTATATTGGACTGGATCATCATTTTACATAAATCGAAATTAAACTGAAACTGCTCATCTTTTGTGGAAGTAGATGCAATAGATTCATGTATGGTCTGCTGTTTAATTTTAGAAACTTCAAACATTTTCTTCCTTTCTACATGAAGAGTCGGTCTGACATGTTGCGTCACGTTATATTTTTTATCACTTTGAATCTAAAATAACGTACCTACATTATCCACTCATCCGGTACGGTCCTGACTACGATAAGCAGAACACGCTCCAAAATCCAAACTCGAAAATCGAGAGATATCGGGCGTCAAAAGCGAAAGAGAAGTAGTAGAAAACAAAGAAGTGAAGTGGAATAAGAGTAAGAAGCACCAACAGGTGTAAGGGCAGCAATTATTAGGGAAAGTGTGGAATCAAAAGAACCTAACCTCCGAAGAGATAGTCTGGGTGACAGTTCTTATCTCGGCACGAAGTAAACAATACAGGAACGTACTAGATACACAGGAAGCAAAAAAGTCGGCCAGGGAATGCTAAACGAGAATCCTGAACCGGAAAAAGGACACAAACTAGCAATAGAAGAACAAGACAACCAGAAACGAAAAAGATAAACCTCTTTTCACCATCACCGGAAGGTCAAAGAGTACAGAGGAAGCAGAAGAGGGTACAAGCAGGAGACATGGACGAAGTAAAGGATATGTTCAAAACGTTAATGGAGGAAATCGCAGAAATGAAAAGAGACCAAAGAGCATACCAAACAGAAGTAACAACACTAAGAGAAGAAAACCAAAGACTGACCGAAAGATTAGAAAGAGTGGACCAACACTTAGAAAAGCTGGAAAAAGCAGAAAGGAGAAACAACATCGTAATCAAAGGAGGGAAAATACAACGAAGCGAAATAACAGCAGAGGTTGAAGGACTCCTAAAAAATAAGGTAGGAATCCAAACTAAGATACAAGACGCAAGATTAGTCAGCGAAAAATACGACATAGTAGTAGCAAAGATAGAGAACTGGGACACAAAAAGAGCAATCATGAAACAGAAGAACAAATTAAAAGGATCAAAAACGTTTATTGAAGACGATTACACCAAACAAGAGAGCGAGATACAGAAGAAAATAAGAGGAATAGCAGCAGCAGAAGAAGGGAGAGGAGTCGAGGCAAAAGTAGGGTACAAAAAGATGATATGGGCAGGAGAAGTCTGGCATTGGGACACTAAATTAGACAAATTAGTGAAAGCACCGTCGCACCCCAAAGAAAATCCAAAAAACTAACAGAGGAAGAAACCACACACCGGAAAACAATGACGACGTATGCAAAGCTCATGGATGACCCGATAGGAATTACGACGAGAAAGAAAAACCCGAAAATTAGAATAGGAACATGGAATGTTCGAGGAACATATAGCGAAGGAAAACTTAAACAAATAGTTCAAGAATTACAAAGGTATAATATAGATGTAGCAGCTATACAAGAGACGAAACAAAAAGGCAAATTCATCACTGAAATAGACAACTACATATTATTTAATAGCGGAATTGACAACAGAGAACTAGGAACAGGATTCATGGTGAAGAAGAGCCTGAAAGGAGCAGTAATTACCTTCAAACCAATCTCAGAAAGAATGAACTATATAAGATTGAGAAGTAAGTACAGGAAAATAAGCCTATTGAATATACATGCACCGACTGAAGAGAAAGATCTAGAAGTAAAAACAGAATATTACGAAGAACTAGAAAGAGAATATGTGAAAATACCAAAGCATGACATTAAAATGGTTATAGGAGACGCCAACGCAATGATAGGTAAAGAGAATTGCTACAGGCCAACAATCGGGAAAGAAAGCAAACACCAAAAAACGAATCAAAATGGAGAAAAACTGATAGAGTTTGCAGAAGAAAATAAAATGGAAGTCAAAAGCACCTTTTTTGCGCAGAAAGAGATCTACAAAGGCACATGGATGTCGCCTGACGGAAAAACGGTCAACCAAATAGACCACATACTGGTAGAAAGGAGAGATGTCCAACTAATAACTAGATTAAGAAGCTACAGGGGAGCAGAAGCGAATTGAGACCACTTTCTAGTAAGAGCAGACCTCAAACAAGAAATACCGAAGAAAAAAGAAGGAAAGAAGGCGCAACGTGATATAAATGTAAACAAACTTAAGAAAGCTGAAGTACAACAGGAATACGAACAAAAGATGAATGAGAGAATAAGATCAACAGAGCAAGACATACCTATAGATGAGAGGTGGGAAGAACTACAAGAGAACATATGGAAGACCTCGGAAGAAGTACTAGGGTTCGTCAAAAAAGACAACAAAAATAGAAACGAATGGTTTGACGAGGAATGTAGAAAAGCAATAGAAGAGGGGAGGTCAGCTAGACAGAAATATCTAAAATAAAAAAATGAGAAGAACCAAAAAGATTACCAAGAAAAAAGGAAAGAGGACAAGAAGATATGCAGAAATAAGAAACGAGCAAAGATGGAAGAACAAATACGACAAATAGAAGAAAACTTCAACAAGAATGAAATAAGGAACTTCTACCAGGACGTGAAAAAAGAGAAAAGAAGCTATCAACCACGAGTAATATATTGTAAAGACAAGGACGGCAACCTGATAGGAGACGAACAAGCAAGAATAAAACGATGGGCAGAATACTTTGAAGAGCTGCTAAACGAACAGGATACACAGCAAGATACGAGCGAAAGAGTGAACGACTCGGATGACCCAGATGAAACAATAGAAATTGAGGAAGGAGAGATCAGAGAAACACTAAGGCAGATGAAAAACAACAAAAGGCCTGGTAGAAACGGAATAAAGGGCGAGATGCTAAAGTACGGAGGAGAAGCAGTAGCTCAGAGATACATCGACTAGTGCTAGAATGTTGGAAGGAAGGAAAAATGCCAGAACAATGGAGTGAAGCAGTACTTTGCCCGATATTTAAAAAAGGAGATATTACGAAATGCGAAAATTATCGCGGAATAGCGCTGCTAGACGTAACGTATAAGGTAATGGCCACTTGCATCAACCGAAGACTAAAGCAGCATATGGAAAAAATAGTAGGAGAATATCAAGCAGGGTTTAGGAAAAATAGATCTACTGTAGACCAGATATTTATATTGAAGCAACTACAAGAAGTACATTACGAGCAGGGAATCAATTTATATCTGCTCTTCATAGACTTTAAAAAAGCCTATGACACGGTTAACAGGAAAGAACTGCTAGAAGCCATGAAAGAACTGGGAGTCCCAAGAAAACTAATAAAACTCACAAATTACCCTGCAGAGCACTAGAAACAGAGTCAGGATAAATGGTCTGTTGTCAGAACCATTCCAAGTAAGAACAGGACTCCGGCAAGGAGATCCAATATCAACTACCCTGTTCAATCTAGTACTCGAAGCAATAATAAGAAGTGGCATCCACAGAACGAGCACGATATACGAAAAAAGACACCAAAATATAGCCTTTGCAGATGATGTGACATGTATAACGAGAACAGAAGCAGAAATGAAGAAAATGACAAGAAATCTAATCAGAGAAGCGAAACGAATGGGTTTAGCGATCAACCAAGAGAAAACGAAGTTTATGAAGATGGAAACAAAACAAACCCCAGCAAAACCACTGAAAGTAACTACAGAAGAAGGAACAACATACGAATTCGAAGAAGTAAATAGGTTCAAATATCTAGGAGTAGTAATTACAAACAAAAACGAAATGAGACCAATGGAGAAAAAGAACAAACCGAGAGATCGAGGAAATATACGGAGAACCAACAATCACGAAGATAATTAGAGCACAGAGACTAAGATGGCTAGGCCACGTCGGAAGAGCACCAGAGGAAAGGACAATTGGGAAAGTATTAGACCGCCTAAAAGGAGGAAAGAAAAAGAGAGGAAGGCCAAAACTGAAATGGATAGACGATGTTCGAAAAGATCTTCAAAACTTAGGCATTGAAGATTGGAGATCCAAAGCAGCCGACAGGAACAAATGGAAAATTATTGTAAAAAAAGCCCAGGGCCTTTAAGGCCTGCAGAGCTGAATTATATATATATCCACTCATCCGGCGTCGATTTTACTTTCGGCATTCTTTTAAAATATTAGTAATATTACCAAAAAGAACTCAACATGTAACAAGGGAGAACCACGTATAACACTGTACTACGACAGATGCGATAGACTGATGGTTGTGAAAGAAACGGTTCATTTACTTAAAAACTTCCATTAGAAAAATTTTAAGGTAGGTAGTTGGGTACAATAATCCTTTTTTCTAGAAAATCTTCAACGGTCTTGCCGCAAAATGCCGAAAAAGAACATCTGGTTAAAAGCTTTAATTCATTATCAACGGAAGTAAGGATTTAAAGTCATAAAATCTATGGAGTATTTTTCCAATCCTATAATAAAATTTTATTACCCAAATGACCGGAACCTATTCACAGAAAGGATCTTGAGTAAGTGTACTTCAATGGTCAAGTCCAGGTAAAATGCATACGATACGATACGGCTAACTAACAAGTATTTGTCATCCCGACAAGGCCGGCATTTGAACAAAATATGCATTAAAACTCATATTCGTCGAAAAAAGCATTAAATAAGCATTTAAGTTTTAATATGCATAAAATAAAATAAAAAGCAAATAAGCAAAAAAAAAATATGTCAAATGACTCCAAATTGTATCATAGTTACAGATATAAAAAAGTTTTGAAGTGCTTACATTTTTCACAAAAAGCATTAAACCTAGAAATCCGCTCTCTACTTATCAGTTCTTATGCATAATGATCGGAAACATTAGGAATTATGCGTAATAACTGAAATTTTCAGTTATTATGCATAATAACGGAAACGTTTGGGTAATATTGATAATAACTAACAGAGGAACAGGAATTATGCATAATATTTTCCAAAAAGCTACCCACCCTGCCTCGCTTTCCCCTACATATCACATATACAGTTGATTTAAAAAAAAAGGGACAAATTACAGTTATATAAACGTCATATTCCCATTACTTTTCATTGATCTATGAGAACCTGAATTGCTCATCTTGTCCCGTTTTTTTGAAATCAGCTGGACATGTTATAGACCAGTGCCGAAGCCTTTGAAAAAAAGTGAAAAAAAATTAGAACAGGATGATACCCATTGGAAAAGGAAGAAAATATAACAAAAATAAAGGAAAAAATAATTTACGGGCGATCTGAGGTCCGGAAGGGGAAGAGGGCGAGCTTTTAAGGGTAGAAAACGGTTTATCACGATTTCCGGCAAAACTACAGGTCCAATCGCAAAAAGTTGTAGGTAATAAAAAGATCTACAACTTTTGTATTTACATTTTCTTTACATAACCTCAAAATTTATGCGAAATATGCAAATAACCGAGTTTTTGGTTTTTTATTTTTATCTCCCACAAAAAATTTTTTAACGAAATTTGGTGAAAACTTACCTATTTATGTCCCAAACTCACTGTAATTTTTTTTATTCAAAATATTTATTTTTTTTTCTTATTTTGATTTAATATCGAAAAACCACCCTAATTTTCAATCGAAAATTCTCACGCCAAAATATTTGCTTTTTTAAAAAAATCGGTGTGCTTTTTGTTCGCTGAAATCTCTACTTTCTGAAGGTGTAAAAAAAATTATACATTACTATGGCAAATTTTCACAGGAAATGCAAAAAACGAAAAAACTCGAATTCAAAAATTTGTTTTTTAATTATTATGTAAAATTTGGAGCTATTTATTAAAATGTACACGTTAATTACTCGAAAAACGTAATATTCCATATTACATTGATAAATTAAAAAATTGCAAATCCAAATATACTGCTATAATTAACAACCAAATAAGTTAATACACTTAATACTTTATAAGACATCTACAATATTTTGTTAAAGTTGTAGGATAATTTTTAAATTATATGCATAGGTGCCTATTTATTGCTATTTTAAGATAACTTACATACTTGAATGGCCCACGGAAAATTTTAGCCCGTCAGAAGAATGAACAACATCGTCTATAAAAATACACGTGCAGGCTGAGTTACTTGAAGAGAATCGTGACGAATTGACTTATTTAAAAGAAACTTTTGGAATCTACAGTCACAAGGATTTCCCTGTAAACAAGCAGAAGAAAATGCTGATGCTGAGATAATTAAGATCTCGATAGAAACTGCCAGAGATACTAATAAAACTGTCATAGTTGTGGGTCAAGATATTTTGGTCCTTTTGAATCAATTGAATTCAAATAATTATGACATTTATTTTCTCAAACTAGGTTCTGGAAATGTAAAAGATCTATTTTTCACGTCCAATAGTTTCAAATATGAATCTTACAAAAATATCGTTCCATTTCTGTATTGTTTTCTGGTTGCGATACAACATCTGGGTTTGCCGGAAAAGGAAAGAAAAACATCGTAAATTCATTGTCTTCTAATATATAAAATTCTCGTATCACAGTGTGTGTAACCAAAGTCTTCCGAAACGGTTTGACTGATTTTTATGAAATTTTCTGTCTATATTCGGTAGGTCTGAGAATAGATCGTAAACTATTTTTTATACCCCTAGGTGATAAGGGTGGCCCACCCAAATATTTTTTTTATATCTTTCGGACAAAATTTGTTATTTTCATTTTTTTAAGATTTGGCTTCAAAAAATACATATAACCCTAAATTTTCACCCTTCTACCACCAACCCCCATTTAGTAGTAACGATATTAGTATCTTTACTTTCATTCACAGATACGCAAGGCAGAGTTCAAGATGGCTGTTGAATATAATCATTGTCGCACGATAAATTTTTATGTATAATTTATAATTTAATTTAATTATAATTTGTTTATTTATTTTGATTTAATTTTTTATTTAATTATTAAAATATTTACTAGAAATAATTTATATGGCAAAACAACGTTTGCTGGGTCTGCTAGTTAGACGATAAAAATTTGTCAAATTTGGTCAATATTTTTTATAACAAACAAATGGATTACAATTAATCCAATATATTTATAAATGTAAAAATGACAACATAACACTGAATCAATTAAAATTTCGAAAATCAATTGGCAAGAATTAAATCATCTTTC